AAGTTGATTGAGAATTCAGTGAAAACAAATTTTTACAAAATTTTCATTTTTTGATAGTATGTATGTGCTGAAAAGCTGCTGTATTTCTAATATTCTTTTCATTATTGTTATAAACATATTTTCTTTGTGAAATAAAATTAACAATAAACATATTAAACCTATAAATGTTCACTAAGGCAAAACAAATTTTTAAAAATATGTGTTAATTTGGTTTTGAAGCTATTAAACAAGAAAATAAATTTGGTTGTGAACTGGAAGTAAAGTCTTGTTATTTCCCAAAGGTGTGTAATGTTTATTAAAAACAGAGAATATTAATCATAGATTTTGAGCTTTATAACTTTGAAAAGAGCATTTAGTCTAATATGGTTAGCAGCAGGTTGAATTAATGATTTTTAAAATTGATTTGAAATTTTATGGTAATTTAACAGTAGAGTATTTGTTAGCAATGTTGATGTTATTTTTTAAATGAATCTTACTGTTTCATTACATCTTTAACATACATTTAGAAATACGTCTCGAAAACACCAGTTGATATTTAGATTTTTAATGTATGTTTGTCAGATTTATGGTGGAATGGCCTGCAGAATAAAGCTACTAATGTTCTGAGGACTTTATTAACATAGCAATTTGTACTAAGTTATGAGACTTAATTAACAGTTTCAAAGTTAGGAGACCTTAATTAATACTTGTTAAGTTATAAAACTTACTAATGCTTGGAGAATTTATGCTTGTTACTTGTATTCTGATATTTCTCATAATTTAGCTAACTAGAAATAAATAAATTCTATATATCTAAGCATTTTTTGTCCCTCAATTATACTTTTAACTTTAATTCTGCAAAAATGATCCACTTGATTTGTTGTGTTCATTTAGTGAATTAGATTTAGATGCCTTAAAAACTTCTGCTTTCATCAAATTCTGTTAGCTTTAATCAGTGATATTAATTGCAAACGTTTTTTCCGAAGGCTTTCACTGCTTTACCTTTGAATTGATTGCTTAATCTTTTGATTTTTAGTTTGCTCTCTAGATTGCACTTTTTTTTATTACATACTTTACCTTATTTGCCTACTTCAATGATTAATTTCTGGCCCACAGCATACATTGTTTTCCTTCTTGAAGAATAGAGACCTCTTGCTTGTGTCTCTGGAAATGTGCAGAGTCTTTCTATGAAACCAAAGCTAATCTAATATAGAGTTTTGTGTTGTGTTAAATAATAGTCATAAAATATTTAAATATTTGGAACGTTTCTTGAAATGAAAGCTTTTCATTTAACTTATGTTTTCAAGTTCGCACATGACTATTGAGAAAAAAACAATATATAATTGGAAATAGTTTATTAATGAATATATTTTAACACATTGCTGTTATTTATGTTTAAACTGAGCTTTAATATCTTATAAAAATTAATTGCAGTAAATAATTGATAAAATTTTTGTATTTGTTAATACTATCAACTTTTCTCTGAATACAATAAACATTTTCACAGCAATTTATTAAATTGCAGGCCATACATTGGCTTAATATTTAATTTAAAAAGAATTTTCCCTGCTATAAAGTGATATCCTTATTATTATTATTTATTTTATGATAGTAGTAGTGGTGCATTCCTATTTTTACATTTAACTTAATATTGATGTATTGATTATGCATGTATAAAGAATAACATTAATACATTTATTAGAGTATTTTGAAAATTACTGATCATACAGCACATAGCATTAAATAAATACTTCGTTTTCTAAGGTTTTTAGTATCAAAGTTACGATTAAGAATTGCTGTTAGTACATAGCATTAAGCAAACGGTTCACTTTCTGAGATTTTTTTATGAGAGATACGTTTAAGAATTACCACGGTAATTTAATGCTAAAATTCAGTACTTTTATTTCAGGAATTTTTTAAAGTAATTTATTACTATTACTCTATTAGGAGTTTTTTAGAGTACTTTTACTTTTTAAGATTTATATTAAGGATTTATTTGCTAAATGCAGTGACATTAAAAAATATTTTAATATTTTCTGTTTTCTGTTCCATTATTGCTTAGTTAGATGAAAAAGGTAACTGTTATTAAGAAAAGAAAGATTATATAGTATGGGATTATCACCTCTAACTTGCACTATTGTTTCGCTAAGAAATTCATTTGTATTAATACATTCATAAATCTAATCTGTGAAATGATACCAACTAATTATTGTGAAAATTTACATAATTATTTTTAATATTTGTGATTTTCAAATTGAGAAATTTAAAAGAAATTTAGAAGTAACTGCTCACAGTAAACCAATGTATTATTTTTCACTGAAAAAAATTATTTTAAATGTTGTCTTTGACAAAATGGTAGATGAAATACACTCATGTCCATAAATTAAGGATAATGCAAAATCAGGCAAAGGAAGAGTTAGAAGCAAAACAAATTTGACTTATTTGTAAAGCTTATTTATTAAACAAAAGGTAAAGAGCAAAAAAAAAAAAAAAAAAAAAAAAAAAAAAAAAGATTCTATATGTTTGATATTATTAAAAAAATTAGCGATTTTTTTTCTCCCTGGAGCAAATTACAAAAAACACGTATTTACAAAAAACCAATATTACATGGTTGGTATGATTGTTAATACATTGGTATGATTGTTAACAGACGATGTAATACAGTCTGTACTACGCCTAGGCATGCTGAGTATCAAATTAACGATCTGATCTTGGGGGATATTACAGCACTCAAAAAGCAATGTTCTCCGAAGTTCCGGTAGACATGTAGGAGGAGGTTGACAGGCTGCACCTTGTTGGCCAAGCATGTCCCACACGTGCTCTACTGGATTCAAGTCCGGTGAGAATGCTGGCCAGTCCATACGGGTGATATCCTCCAATTGAAGTCATTCGCTTACGATGTTTGCACGGTGAGGACGGGCGTTGTCATCCGTAAACACAAAATGTGCGACCATGGCACCCCGAAACAAACGTACATGTTGTTCCAGAATGACGTCCCGATAAATTTGGCTTGTCATGGTTCCAATTTGAACATGCAGGTCAGTTCTGGAACCCAGAATAATTCCACTCCAAACGAGCACTCCAGCACCACCGTAATGGTGTCGTTCAATGATGTTTTCTTGGTGGTAACGAGTATCTGGAGCTCTCCATATGAAAGTCAGGCGAGAATCAGACTGCAAGCTAAACCTGGACTCATTGGAAAACATCACACAAGCCCACTGTTGTGGTGTCCATAATGCATGCTCTCTACTCCAGGCTAACCACAGGCGACAGTGAGTTGCAGTAAGTGGAACGCATCTGACAGGTCTATGAGCATATAGACCAATCTGCCCTAAGCATCTGTACACAGTTTGCCTTGAAATTGTCGTACCAGTAGCTGAAGAGAGCTGACGAGATAGGTCTGAGGCTGTGCTCCGCCTGTTGCTTTTGGCAGTAACTGCCAAATACCGGTCCTCATTCGGCGTTGTAACTCTGGGGCGACCTGTGCTGTAACGTTTACTCACATTACCATCCATAATCTTGGAATCGTTGCCAAAGCCTGGAGATGACACTCTGGACAATTCCAAGTTCGTCTGATACTTCCAGTTGGGTACGCCCACATTCCAGACGGCCGATAATTCTACCACGTAAAAAATCATCCAAATGCGTCCTTTGTGTCATAACTATTCGGTTATTGCACTGAAATGCTTATAAAGTGCCTGCGAACAATTTTACTTCTTTGCCTGTATTCCTTATATATCACTCTCTTACATTCTCGTCATTGTGACGTACCATCGGTGTCATCTGGTTACTTCCTAAAATTTGCATATAATTCTTGAAGATGTGTGTAGTGATTTTACAGGTGATATATTTATTTTAGAGTTCGATTTCCGCGTGACTCCGAATTATCCTTAATTTATGGACACGAGTGTAAATGAGTTATTACGCAGAGGATGAAAATAATTCAGTTGTTTATTTAAGTGTTCTATTTGTGAATTTTGCAAATAACTAGTTAAACTAGCATCTGTTACAGTTGAAATAAAATTGAATGGACATTTTTAAAAATTTTATTTGGTTATCAGCTCAGTGTTAATTACTGCATAATGCCTTTTCTTCTTTTCTCTCTCTCTGTTTCTCTCGCATTTTTTTTTTTTTTTTTTTTTTTTTGGTGCCTGTGTGTGTATTATGTGATTATGCAGATTTTGTAATTTTCATAGGAAATAAACTTACAGGATTTTATAAAGTCATAATATTTCATAGAAAATAAACCCTCAAGCTTGAATAGGAGAGTGATTTCGTTTCAGAAAAATTATCTTGTTAGTTTAGGAAATATACGGAATTGAAGTTTTTATTTTATCATACTTTTGATTTATAAAATATAAACTATAATGCAATTAAAATTAATCTTTTTACATACCCGTTTTCTTCCTAATTATTTATAAAGATATTTGATTCATTACCGAACTCATAATTTAATGTATTTCAGTAATGAATAACTATTTCTCTAAAAATCAAACTTTTGTTTGTATTTGACATAAAAAGGAATTATTCTCTCATTTATGCTTTACGCAGTCTATTTTTTCTTAAAAATAATGAATATATTGCTACTTTCAAGATTACTATATTTTTATTGAATAATAATTCACATAGTAAAAATTTTTGATATTAAAAACATTCTTTTAAAAATTGGAAAGGAAAACATCTAACATTTTACAATTTTTTTAAACAATGTGGTTTTACTTTTTATTGCCTTTGGAATGGACTCTTTTGGTAAGTATCTTCTGTAGTAAAACTGTAAAAAATAACTGTATATATACGTATTATTCTTGCTCTTCATTAAATCTTCAAAATAAGTCCTGTTCAATAAACGATTTTAGATGTTTTTGCTCATCCAAAGCTTTTTTTTTTTTTTTTTTTTTTTTAAATCTGATGCACAAAAACATTAAAAATGTTGATTGAACTTTTGTGCAATGATACAAGATAGTGGCAGTTTGAAGTCAATTTAACAGTATTTCAAAATCATTAACCGCTGTATACTTTTCTAAATCTCATCTAATTATGAAAATTTATTAACAAACTAAGAACATTACAACTTTAAAGCGCTCCTTCTTCAATCATGCGCTGTTCAGAGTATAAAAAAAGAACAATTACATCAGCTGTAAAATTCAACAACAGTGGGCTGCACGTTTCTCATTTGTCTGTTTTAACGTTCGATGACAAAACCCGTAATAAAATAACATAAAAACGATGCCACTTGCAAAGCTAGAGAACACTGCTACTAGTGCTGGTATGTGATACCAGACACCTGGGTCATTCCTCAGGAACCACAGAGTCATCAGAGCACAGTTCTCTGCGAAGACTATAGCATAATACGCTGAATATTTGTATCTGGTTGGCTCTGCCTTGACATTCAAATAATATATCACATAGGCGACTCCGATGACCATATTGCACATGTACTCCTTACATTGGTGGAGCTCGCCATTCTTGCGACAAAAGCGTGTTTGCTGGTGCATAACCCATATTGTCATGATTCCCCAGTGTCCTATGCAAAATGGGAAGAGCCAGAAGTGGTATTCTTTGGTGAATAGAGCCAAAGTACAGGCCCTTGATCCTATTGTGCAGAAGTGCCAGAGGAATTGGAGCACTTTGCCTACGCTCTTGGCTTTCTTTTTACCCATCATGATACGGTGGAGGGCGTTGTTGTAGGATGTAATGGACCAGGCGAGTTGGAAAAGAGAAGAAGCTGCACAAGCACCTTGTATAAAAACTGAAAAATTGAAAAGAATAAAATTTACTCACAGATTAAATCATGCATAAAATAATAATAATAATAATAATAAGGGAATAGGGTGAAATTTTTTTGTTTGAAGTTACTCTTTGATATGGCTGGTAAGAGTAGTAAATACATCTATGTCATAAAAGTAAATATCAGTTATTACTAAAATTCATTAAAAATCATAATAAAAATTACGCCTATCCTTTTAGTACGTGTCATGAGTTTTGTGAAGTTTGTCCGTAGTAGAACTTATACATAAACTAGTAGCCAAAGAAAATTGTCAAAAGAACTGCGTTATGAACTCTGTATACATGTGTTTTATTACGTGTTGTCGATACATTGAAAGCATATTCACATATTTCTTCAGCTGAAGCTAGAACAACAAAGTTTTTGAAATACTGATCTGAATTGAGAGATTGGAAGAATGGATATTGTTAGAACCTCAACACAAAAGTGTTTTAATTATCGAAAGTAATGGAATTATTGTTTTTACTAATGAAATTATACCATTGTTGAGGAAATTTGCACATATTTGAGTAGAAATAAAGGCTGTCTTTTATGCATAAGTTTATTCATAAACTGCAGAGAAAATGAACTACCTGCCTTCTTTAGGAGGATGTCTTTATGGAAGATTTTGTAATAGAATTGACTCAACTCTTCGTTGGTAATGAAACAATTGTGTTTCTAGTTCGTCCTCAAAAGAACTCATCTTAAGCAAAATTCGTTGTTTAGTGATATGTTCATTTCTTCTACTTGTCAGCAATATATGAAATTAAATAGTTTTTAAATTACATACCCTTCTTTATTTCATTTTTGTTCAATTTCTTACGATTACTTTTACTCATAATTCCGAAACCATTTTTACATTTGCTTCATTATTTCTCAAGCTTGAAATACATTCTTGAGCAAAAATATGGCTTTTAAAAAACTCTCAGCAGCTTTCTATACTATTTTTTTTTTCTTTGAGAAAGCTATTGTCCTCTAAGATACTTCTTTGGTGGCTCAACAAACAGGAATGAGAGGAAAGATCTAACTTAACAGGTTTCTTGAGAGGGATAATATTTTTGTGACGAACGGGATATGTAGTTTCGCCCATGAAAATTTTTTTTCATGGAATAGTTTACTCTTTAAGTTTTTGTTATGCTAACGAATGTGTGTTTATGGAAGTTTTGATGTTCTAGACATCATGAATCCGAAAACTACAGAAGGTACTAGACATCTGAATATATTGCGAATTCTTATTACTAAGAGTGCTTTTAAATACCTTTGCTTGACGACAGATGGTGTTTTTGTTTTTTATTCATACAGTTTTTTTCAGTTTTGAAATGATGCCCTTATGTTTTTAAAATCTCTTTTCTTTTTAACGTGAATTATTTAAAATGCAGAAAGAAATGCTAATAAAAAAAGCCTTTATTTTCATATATTACATTTTTTTTTGTCACATGCCGTGCACATTTTCAACTCTAGTTGAGCTGTAAAAACTACTATAAGCTGTTCTAGATATAATGCCTTATCATAGTTTCCCCCTGTAGAATACTAATTTCTTCGATTCTTACTGTCTTCATAGCAGTGCTCATCTCCTTCTTGGGAGAAAGTTTTGCGCCAACGTTTCCTGTATTTGCATTTGTACAGGCATCGCATACTTGATTTGATTACCTGCGAATATCTTTATAATGCATATCATTCACCTGTAGAACATCTATATCATTATTTCGAATTTCTGAGATTTATGTTTCACCTTCAGTAAACATTAGTTTAAAGACAACTAAGTGCTTATATCGGCAACTTGGTTTATATTTGTCCTGTTAGAATGTTGTAATCAATGATGCTACAATACCTATTTAATCAGGTTTTGGTATCTTCATTTTAGAAATGTTTATTTATTGTTTAAATTTATAGATACGATATCTTGCTTTTATTGAACTTAAATTCTCCTCCTCTTCCCTTTTCAAATTTTACTTTTTCCCTCATTTTTCAGCTATCGTTTCCCTCTCTCATTTTTATGGAATTATATATATATGTGCATACATACATACATAGTAAGAATTGTCAATTATTTGGATACATTTAGTGAGAAAATATCGAGTGTTTTAAGCATTGCAAACCTTGCCCTCACATTTTTTCAGGTATACAACGTCAAACTGTAAGTGTTAAATTGGCTTTGTACTTTATTTGTAACTAAAAGTTATGAATGAATGTAGGTATGGGTCAAAAACTAGTTGCAATCGGTAGTTGATTAAAACTTTTTTTTTCCCTTTAAAATTACGCTTTGTCGCGTGATGAACGAAAATTCGCTCGATTTAGTTTAAAGCAAGTGCTTCAAAAAGATTACTTGATTAAATATATCTTAGATGTTTCGCTTTAGACCAAATTATTATAGTTTAAGAAATGAATCAAGCAAAATAAGCCTTTACTTTGCAGCAGTTTTAATCACTGGAAAATTTTAGTTGCAGTTACTAACAATTTTACTTTTCGTTCAAGAACGGCAAGGAAAAAGGTTTAATAAGATTTTTCTTTTTATTTATTTGACAAGTATGATGAATTAGTGGAACCAAAACAATTCATCATTTCAGCACTAAAACTACTGAATGTATTATTTGGTAAGGCATTTGAGGTCTTTATAAAAATGCTGTTTAACCCTTGCACCCGAAGTACTCCTCAAAAGCACTTGCCAAAGATTGGCGTCGTTTTTGCCTCTCAGACATGCCAACAATGTACTGCACTGAAGATCACGCGATTGTAATTTACAGCTGAATTTTAGTTGAATGTGATTTAATGTTTCATTGATTTCAGTATTTAATCGGTTGTTTGGCCGCAAAAAAAAATGTTCTATTCACCATGGCAAAAATGTGATGAAAGAAACGTTTTTTTAAGATAGCAGTAATGATGAATTTAGTGTGGATGAATATGAAAGTGATTCTGATGACAGGGATATTATTCCACCAGTGAAGAAAAATATTGCAATATAGTGATTCGAATGAAAGTGGTGAAAACGTTTCAGAAAATTTAGATAGTGGTAGCGAAAATAGAGAATGTTAGCGAAAGCTGTTTTGTGTGTTACATACACCCCAAAAGGCTAGAACACAAATCGTTTATTTTTCTGAAACTTGCAATAGCCGCGACCACGCAGGTAGTCCAGCATGCTATTCAATATAACTTAGATTTCTTGATAATTCAAGAACCTTATTGTCGCGAGGGCCAAGTGGCAAGCCTACCACTGGCATGGAAAATTTTTCAGAAGAAAGCCAATGCAGAACAAGCACCACGGGCAGCCATTGTCTGCTGCAACCCCTCCTGGTCTCCATACGTAGTAACCACAGAAAGAGACTTCGTTACTATTCTAGTCATCTTTGAAGAGCAGCAATTCCTCCTAACCTCCGTCTACTCCCCGCCCACGGAAGGTCTTACGGATGTGACTTGCAACTTTATACGAGTGAAACAGAAATGCCCAACAGTACCTCACGTCGTTGGAGGAGATTTCAATGCACATAATACTATATGGGGCTACCAAGACACAACGCCTAAAGGGCGAGACATGGAAGACTTTATGGCCTGTCACGATCTACATTTACATAATAGTCAAGGGGCACAACCAACCTATGACAATACCTATCATAAAGGATGGCCTGATCTTACACTCTCAACTGCTAATTTTGCCAACAACTTTAGCTCATGGGATGTTCTAGATGATGAGAGAGTAACTCAGATCATCGATACATCCACTTCACACTAACACTTGAAGCCAGCATTAATATCCTCCAGAGATTCAAACTACCTACCGGGCGGAAAGATACGACGACGACTGAAGAATGCCTTTCAGGAGCTGCTCATCAGAGAAGAAGACATACTAGAAGAGCTTACCAACCCCCAAGAACTGGATGATTACACAGACCACATTCTGTCATTACTCAGACAAATATGTCAGCAGATCCTCCCTACAAGGACCGCCAAAAAACTCCAAGGCATATCCTGGTGGACGGGAAGACTGAGAGAGATGAAAAACAGAGGTGCAGAGCTCTGCGCCGCCGCCTCAGATCTGCTACCAACGAAATTGTAGCTTCCAACATCCTTACGGCCTTTCGGCAAGAAAGGGCCGCCTACAAGAAAGCAATTCTTGAAGCTAAAATTAACAGCTGGAGATCTTTCTGCACCAGTAACAGTAATCCATATGGAATTTTACACAAACTGGCAACGCAGAAGATCTTCCAACCAGCGCAAGTACCAGTTCAACCAACAGCACCACATACTATGGACGTAGCGGCCTCCACCGCCAAGGAACTTTTAAATGCTATCTTTCCCACAGATGATACACAAGCAGATACTTCAGAACAGAGGCAAATTAGAGAAGATACAAGCTCGCCATGCACACCGAACGATATACAGTTTTCTGCACAGGAGATACGTAATATCTTCCGGTATCTGCCACTAAAAAAGGCCCCGGGTCCAGACGGACTCGATTACGCAATTATCAAAGTTGCATATCAGGCACGACCATCCTACTTCCATAAATACTACAACCAGCTTCTGCATTATAAAATATTCCCCACAGCTTTCAAAAAAGGCAATGTGGTATTATTTTTAAAAAAGGATAAAGACCCCCTAGTATCGAGTTCCTTTAGGCCAATTTGCCTTCTGTCGGCGATGGGAAAGATTTACGAGAAGCTCATCGTCAACAGGCTAAAATTTTCATCTACATCAATACCAAAGCATTAGCCCAAGACAATTTGGCTTCAAACAAGGCAGTTCTACCATTCATGCCCTGCAGCGAATCCATGAAGTCATAATTCAGAACAAATCGCAGGGCTACCAGACGGCTTTTATATCGATAGATTTGCAAAGTGCGTTCGATACCCTCTGGTGGCCTGCCATCAGGCAGGCCCTCAGAGAGGCAAGATGCCCAAGAAATATCTTTCAAGTTCTGGACAACTATCTGGCAGACCGGCAACTGATGATCTCTAACAACAGTAGTACTGTTTCAATAACACAAGTGA